GAGAAACATCTCACAGTTTAAGCTGTTTATATGAGAAACGTCTCACAGTTTAGGCTGTTTATATGAGAAACGTCTCACAGTTTAAGCTGTTTATATGAGAAACATCTCACAGTTTAGGCTGTTTATATGAGAAACGTCTCACAGTTTAGGCTGTTTATATGAGAAACGTCTCACAGTTTAGGCTGTTTATATGAGAAACATCTCACAGTTTAGGCTGTTTATATGAGAAACGTCTCACAGTTTAGGCTGTTTATATGAGAAACGTCTCACAGTTTAGGCTGTTTATATGAGAAACGTCTCACAGTTTAGGCTGTTTATATGAGAAACATCTCACAGTTTAAGCTGTTTATATGAGAAACGTCTCACAGTTTAGGCTGTTTATATGAGAAACGTCTCACAGTTTAGGCTGTTTATATGAGAAACGTCTCACAGTTTAGGCTGTTTATATGAGAAAAGTCTCACAGTTCAGGCTGTTTATATGAGAAACATCTCACAATTTAAGCTGTTTATATGAGAAACGTCTCACAGTTTAAGCTGTTTATATGAGAAACGTCTCACAGTTTAGGCTGTTTATATGGGAAACGTCTCACAGTTTAGGCTGTTTATATGGGAAACGTCTCACAGTTTAGGCTGTTTATATGGGAAACGTCTCACAGTTTAGGCTGTTTATATGGGAAACGTCTCACAGTTTAGGCTGTTTATATGGGAAACGTCTCACAGTTTAGGCTGTTTATATGAGAAACGTCTCACAGTTTAGGCTGTTTATATGAGAAACGTCTCACAGTTTAAGCTGTTTATATGAGAAACGTCTCACAGTTTAGGCTGTTTATATGAGAAACGTCTCACAGTTTAGGCTGTTTATATGAGAAACGTCTCACAGTTTAAGCTGTTTATATGAGAAACATCTCACAATTTAAGCTGTTTATATGAGAAACGTCTCACAGTTTAAGCTGTTTATATGAGAAGCATCTCACAGTTTAAGCTGTTTATATGAGAAAAATCTCACTATTTGATCTGTTTATATGAGAAACATCTCACAGTTTAAGCTGTTTATATGAGAAAAATCTCACGATTTGATCTGTTTATATGAGAATCGTATCCGTTGACTATTATTGAACTTATAAACATGTTGTTGTATAGTTTTTAACTTCTCGTCAGTGGCCCTTGAAACGTGTCTCCAATCTACTAATCATTTGTTTTATCACAGCTGTTACACTGGACCTATTGTATGGACATGAAATTGTTGTCAAGCAATTGAGAAATGAGGAAATCTATATCTAGTCATTAATGGAAGGGAACATGAAGAAAATGTACAATACAATGTGTATGTAAGGAAACTAAACTTGTAGGTATAAGGAAACCTGTATTTGTGATACAATACAATGTATATGTAAGGAAACTAAACTTGTAGGTATAAGGAAAACTGTATTTGTGATACAATACAATGTATATGTAAGGAAACTAAACTTGTAGGCATAAGGAAAACTGTATTTGTTTGTGATACAATACAATGTATATGTAAGGAAACTAAACTTGTAGGTATAAGGAAACCTGTATTTGTGATACAATACAATGTATATGTAAGGAAACTAAACTTGTAGGAATAAGGAAAACTGTATTTGTTTGTGATACAATACAATGTATATGTAAGGAAACTAAACTTGTAGGTATAAGGAAACCTGTATTTGTGATACAATACAATGTATATGTAAGGAAACTAAACTTGTAGGTATAAGGAAACCTGTATTTGTGATACAATACAATGTATATGTAAGGAAACTAAACTTGTAGGAATAAGGAAAACTGTATTTGTTTGTGATACAATACAATGTATATGTAAGGAAACTAAACTTGTAGGTATAAGGAAAACTGTATTTGTGATACAATACAATGTATATGTAAGGAAACTAAACTTGTAGGTATAAGGAAACCTGTATTTGATTGTGATACAATACAATGTGTATGTAAGGAAACTAAACTTGTAGGTATAAGGAAAACTGTATTTGTGATACAATATAATGTGTATGTAAGGAAACTAAACTTGTAGGTATAAGGAAACCTGTATTTGTGATACAATACAATGTATATGTAAGGAAACTAAACTTGTAGGTATAAGGAAACCTGTATTTGTTTGTGATACAATACAATGTGTATGTAAGGAAACTAAACTTGTAGGTATAAGGAAAACTGTATTTGTGATACAATACAATGTGTATGTAAGGAAACTAAACTTGTAGGTATAAGGAAACCTGTATTTGATTGTGATACAATACAATGTGTATGTAAGGAAACTAAACTTGTAGGTATAAGGAAAACTGTATTTGTGATACAATACAATGTGTATGTAAGGAAACTAAACTTGTAGGTATAAGGAAAACTGTATTTGTGATACAATACAATGTGTATGTAAGGAAACTAAACTTGTAGGTATAAGGAAAACTGTATTTGTGATACAATACAATGTATATGTAAGGAAACTAAACTTGTAGGTATAAGGAGACCTGTATTTGTTTTGAGAGGAGCTCATGAATCGTAAAAAAATCAACTGTGATGATAATATATATTCATTTATCTCTGAGTGCTCTTAGTATACAACTAATTTTTTAAAGGTCTGAGTTGTCAAGTCAAAACCTGTCTACATAAATGTTAGAGTTTATCAGGAAGCTAAAATCGCTTTAGTGGTTGTGTTTGGGTAAGATACTTAACTTCTCTGGATTAAAGAGACATCGCAGAATATACCCGTAAGAAGAAATAGTTGGATGAGATTCGGGGTCCGTCTGAGACAATCCCAAGGTAGTAGATAGAGTAAAACAAACTTTTCAATCATCAGTTCCCAAAAACGTCATCTGGATACAACGCAGTAAGTCGGTACTAAATATGGACGAGGGGCCCCATAGTCCCTCGCACATCTAGATGTTTTGAATAAAGCGTAGCCGAATCGACTTTCATGAGATAGTCTTCTGCTACCAGCTGATGAACGTGTGGAAGAATTCGATCTCATCTTACTATAATCTTATTGCCATCTTATCATACCACTGTGTTGTATTTAAGATGACACATGTATATACTACAGCCGAAAAGTCGCGTAATTTTATTACCAACTCGTACACTGTAATCATCTATACAAAACACACGCTTTACGCTGGTCATCTGTTTGATGAAGGCGACTGTGTAGGCATCTAAACGTCACTTATAATTTACAGTGTTTGTTACGTAAAGGCCTTCTATTCGATAACTCATTACAAACCAGAGGAAAATGGTCCGTGATGCTTATCACCGTATATTCTACTGAAGAAAAATAAGCATTATGATATCTAAAGTGCAAATAAACTATTATTGATATTTTTCATTGAAATATATTGTTCAGTAAAGCTGTCCGCGTAAACTTTGTCGTCAAGTTATCTGAACGATAAAAATCAATCATTGTTGGTTTCCTAGTTACTCGACTGTGAACAGCTGTTGCTCAGCGAGATAAGATGGGACGGCGGTCTAATAAGATGCATATGTGGCAATACACGTATTGATGAAATAGGTGACGCGTTTTGTTAAACTCGATCAGTTGTCATTTTCAAGAAATCTACAAACAAAAAAATGAATTGCGTGATGTAAAGTAGCGGGGACGCGGAGAGGAATTATATAAGTATTCATACTGACTGATAAAACCTAGTAATGTAAGTATATAAGTAATCAGGGTTTGACTTTGTGATGAAGCATTTCATAATCTTTGTCGTGATTTCTATAGCAGAGTAAAACTTGAGGAGTGAAACATGTTATCATACAGTACAATGGTCAAGATTACTAGAAGCAATGGAGTTTCTCTATGGGGAGCTGAAGTCGGTTTACACGATGGTAGATCACGTCTATGGGTAGATCAAATATGTCCGTAAGTTGTGTGATCACGTCTATGGGTAGATTAAATATGTCCGTTAGTTGCGTGATCAAGTCTATGGGTTCATCAAATATGTCCATTAGTTGTGTGATCACGTCTATGGGTAGATCAAATATGTCCGTTAGTTGTGTGATCACGTCTATGGGTAGATCAAATATGTCCGTTAGTTGCGTGATCACGTCTACGGGTTCATCAAATATGTCCATTAGTTGTGTGATCACGTCTATGGGTAGATCAAATATGCCCATTAGTTGTGTGATCACGTCTATGGGTAGATCAAATATGTCCGTTAGTTGTGTGATCACGTCTATGGGTAGATCAAATATGTCCGTTAGTTGCGTGATCACGTCTATGGGTTCATCAAATATGTCCATTAGTTGTGTGATCACGTCTATGGTTTGCTTAAACATGGATATAAATTGTTTTAACTTGTCTATGGGTTTTTATAATGTTTGTGTCGACTGCTAGATTACTTTCTTTGGGTCATCAGATGATGTCTAGTAAAGGTTTGATTATGTCTATGGGATGTGTAATTGATAATTTCCGTAGACAGAACAATCTGTCCTAGATACGAAATGTCACTTCAGCATTTCAACATCATGACATCCACAATGTCATACACCAGTCTACATATGTAACGTTAGCATGCATACAGGAAAATGATAAATATATGGTAGCTATATCTGGTGTATATCAACGTTAAACATAAATGTGATTATCATGTTGTACAATGTTATTGTATATCAATGGAATGAAAAATTAATACAACTGTATTTACTATACTTAATCACAAGTTTGGATTGTTAGAATATGTAAGCGATTTTACAAACCTAAGCTTGATATAGTTTAGTACAGGTTTACGATAGATAAGATGTTTTTGTACATGTAATGTGATAATATGCTATATTAAATTTCCATTCTATCATATAATACATTTTATGATGAACATAAATAATATTGATATCTTTGATACTATTATTGTTTTCTTATTGCGAAGACATAAAATTCTCATTTAGGCAAATAGTCGCTTATTTAGTTTGTGTTTCAGAAAATCATCAAGTCAACACTTTGTAATAACAGTAAAATGGATTCTACTTCCAGATTACCCAGAATGCCACGAATGCGTTTAAAGAAACACGTTAAAAATCTAGGCGTGTTATGTTTCTTTTTGTGGTGTGTGTGGTTTTTTATTTATCGTGATTTTACAAACAATGATAATACTCGGAAGACTGAAGTAGAACTGGAACAATCGCATCAACTCGGTGTAATTAAACCTGACGGTCAAAAACAAACAGAAAACCTAAGGGAAGATCCATTAGAGCCACAACCCAGAAATAATGACGTGGCAAATAATGTGCTCAAAAATAAAGATCAAAATGCTGGCCTTAACAAAAGGAATGACATGAAAGAGGAAGATAAAGTCGTTGAAAAAATACAAGAGGATGTTCCGAAGAAAAATCTCGTTATAAACGGCGGAAAGGATACCAAAGATGAAGTTGTACCATCTGGACCAGGTGAGCGAATACAATATTTGTCTATTCAGATATCGATCGATCATTTAACATCTGGAATGCATATTCTAGATCGAAAATAAACTATTTCCGACTTTTTTGAATTTATGAATTTAATGCAGTTACCGCCCTTAGTTAATACGTGTCCTTCATGCCATATCTTATGCTAATGAAGCATTTTTCCAATATATTTCGTCCGTTGTGATATTGATGGATGTTAGCTAGTATGTTGAAATTAAAATTTGACTGAGATATTAAAATCAATGCTAAATCTTGTAATATACTAGAGCTTCAAATCAAATATTTTTGGAGTGGATTTTATTGAAGCATGAAATTATTGCTTTATTTGACAGTTATAAGTGACTTGATTGAAAAGATGCCCGTCCTGGCACACGAAATTCCACTTGACATATGAAATTTTACAGTACAGCCAAATACACCCTGTAATTTCATTACTGTCTCATACACTGTATACTTCATACTGATCATTTGTCTGAATAAAAAGACAGTGTAGTCCTCAAAACGTATCACATCAATTTCGAACGGTTGTGATACAGGAACATCTATTCAACATACATTACCAAACCTGAATGAAATATTTCGAGAAGTTAAAGTGACTCCTGTTTATGTACATAAACATGAAAATGGATTAAACCAGTGATAACTGATCCTAATGCCTTTTTTTCTATTTAAAGGTGAGTTAGGGGACGGTGTAAATATTGATGAAAAGTCACTGACCCCCGAGGAAAAGAAAAAGTACAAAAAAGGATGGAAAAACAATGCCTTCAATGAATATGTCAGTGATATGATTTCATTAGACAGGTCCTTGGAGGATACACGAGATCCAGAGTAAGTAGGAAGATATGTGCTGTCAAATAATTTTCGTTTAGCATCATTTTCATGGTTTTTCGAAGGTATTTTTTCGTGGACAGTTGATTTCGTGGATATTACTTATTTTGATATATCATGGACTTATACATTCTTGGATTTAGAGTACCCACGAAATCAACGAAAATAATTCCTCCGCGAAAATTAATGTGATTACAGTATATAACTATGATTTATCTGCCATTTCTCTTGTATGATATTATAGGTTACATACCAACGTAGGAAATATACTCAACGTTTTCTATTATCATGAAGAAAAACACAATTATTTAATTTCCTCTTTCCTTCTTCAGATAGAATTTTATTTGTAATGTTGTGTTGGGTCAATATTGTGCTCCTTAACTTTGAAACCTCTTTCATGTTCCTGTCAAGATATCTTGGTTAAGGTATCATGATTAGCTTAGTGTGGATTTGTTTAGTTTCCGTTTTTGTCGCTGAGTTAGACTATCACTATATACCTTCTATCACGTTTCATGTCATTGTTCTTTTTGTTACCTTTATTAATGTCAATGATTTTCTGTATCGGTAAAACTGAAAGTCTCACATGTTTATTGTCAGTGGACGAAAATGTACTGCAAGTTATGAAAGGTGACCGATAAGTAACCATGATGTTGTACCGATAAAGCACACCGTACGTCTATTTATTTGATTAAAATAGCTAATGTGTCCTCGGTGATTAAGTGGGGAAATGGAAATTGAAGACATGACAAGGGGACTTTTGTTTCTTTTATTATTAGATATAGATATCATATGGGTGAAAGGTTAAAATTGTCATTATTTAAAACAAATTTGAAGTAGCTTTGCATCATTGATAGATGCAAAACGAAAAGAACAAAAGTAAGTAAATAAAAACATAAACTCAAACAAACTAACATAGATAAACAATAGAACAAAAACGAAAACAAATGTATTCACTCTCTTATCTACTTTCAGATGTAAAACCATGGTATACAGTAATTTGCCAGACGCGAGTGTCATTGTGACATTTCATAACGAGGCTTGGTCTGTGTTACTAAGGAGTGTCCATAGCATTATAAACCGTACCCCACCGGAACTACTGAAGGAGGTCATCCTTGTAGATGATTTTTCGGACATGCGTAAGAAAAGCATAACGCTTTCAACGTTTTGAAATTTATGAGTAAAAGCTCTATTGAGCTATCACTTCAATATCAAAGACACGGTTCTGTATTTCATCCAATTTATCCTCAATTGTTACTCAAACATCACTGTTTGAATAGTTTGAACAACAGGTACTCGTTTATTTCACAATATTTTAATATGAAAACAATAAGAATATAAAGTGATATAAAATTTCTTACTGGCAGGACTAGGAAAAAATGTAAATATGAAATAAATGTATAAAATTGTGATTGCATGTACTTATTTTTTATTTTAAATTTGTCTTAAAACATCGTAATTGACGCAACAGATTGCGTTGTGTCAGGTACCTGGATGTATTAATGATTTATGCTACTTTTAATGTTTTAAGCACATCTGCATACCCCACTGGAAGAATATATGAGTCGATATGAAAAGGTTAAAATAGTGAGAGCCAGCAAAAGGGAAGGACTGATCAGAACAAGACTTCTTGGCTACAACAGCGCCTCCGGAACTGTCCTTGTGTATCTTGATTCCCATATAGAATGCTCGGATGGTATATACTATAATCACTTTAAAATAAAATATTTTTGTTGGACAAAACAAAAATGAAACTCCCCAAAACATTGATGATTTTACAGTGTAAGAAATAATTAGCTATTTTTAAAGAATTTTCTAACTTTAAAAGTGAAATTCGGTTGATTGGAAATATTTAATTGATATTTGATTAAGAAGGTCAAGAACTTCCGCCTTAAATCAATGACATTTATCACATTTATGAATGACGACGAAACCTTTCAAGATGTTTCCTTAGTTGAGCAATTCCTCCTGTTGTATATATATTCGTCCATTCCAAAAGTACATATATAGTATACGTTAATGAATAATATGACATAGATATGTCGACCAATTTATTGTTGCCGTCCATGTGTTATGAATTGTAAACAGATAACACATCCTTATACTAGTCATTTGAACAATGTTTCTAAATGTTTAACAAATTTCTATCTCTCTCTATGTATCGGGGAATTTTCCTGAAGAAATAGTGATTTGATAATCATCTTTTTTGTTTATACATAGCTTTAAGAAAGACTTTATTTTTTTGGTCTTCAGGTTGGATTGAGCCACTGCTAGATCCCATCGCTCGTGACAAGACGACCTCAGTTACACCTATAATTGATGTGATTGATTTCACAACATTCCGCTTCAAAATCGGTAAAGCAAAAGACGTACAGGTCGGAGGATTTGACTGGTCACTCGTGTTTAACTGGCACATCATACCAGAGTCTGAAAGGGCGCGTCGTAATTTTAAAGACTATTTACCAGCAAGGTACGGCCTATTAATTTGTAACTAAATAACAAGAACAGTGTATGGATTAAATTGACTGCTGTTGATGAAAATAATGACTTAGACTGCATCATACAGCTGTTTTTCCTTCCAGGACTCTCGTTATTGATACCAAGTGCTTTAAACGGTTATCTGCATTATACATTTTTTAAAGTGTTTATCACTTAAAATCATATAGCTTTTAATTCACGGACGTCGTATGACGAGGTTTCTATTTCCAAGTTGGTGCTATTTTTGTTTGGATTTTTAGTCGCTATATTTGTGGGTGAAATAACATCGCTAATATAAATGCACTGACAAGAAATGAGGAAAAGCGAAAGGAATTCGTTTTGATGATGTAAAGTTTTCTTATGAAAAACAATATACAGTGCACATGCACATTCATACGTATGTGCATTTGTATATGTACACATGCCACTCGGTCGTTAATCAAATCAGTAAAACAACAAGAAAATACCAACATTTCAACATAATCATTGTTCAAACTCAAATTCAAACCATGAACTAAAGAAAGATTTACAAAGTATAAAGAAGTAAACTATACAAGGAGAATAAGACCAGTAAAACAGTAATTATCATCTACTCCATCGTCAACACCAGCCATTTATTACATTCGTGCTTGTATCTGTTGGACAAAGTCCTACTGAAAACGGTTGAAATGCCGTATTTGAAGAATACACAGGGTAGGTAAACACGTGTTATTGTTTGACAGGTCTCCTACCATGGCAGGGGGTCTGTTTGCGATCAGTCGAGAATATTTCACTGAAATTGGAACATACGACGAAGGAATGAATATTTGGGGAGCTGAAAATTTGGAAATATCATTCAGGGTAATACTTTGCTAACCCAAATTGCTGAACTATTATTCAGGGTTTTTATTCATATAATTAATATGAAAACAACAGAAATATCCTTTTAAAATTTTTGATAGAATAAAGCTTCAATGTCATTCAAGGTCGTTTCTTAAACAGCCGAGGTAGTAAGTGCTGACTATCAATATTATAAAGAACGACAGTAATAATTGTTTCGATAAAATGTAAAATATTTTATCTTCTATAATCAAATAACAAGCAATTTGACTTCTTTTGCATTCGGTGATCCTTTTCTGAAATGATTGCTATAAAATCTTGACTATGTTGGCCCTATGCATTTGTGTGATGACGTCATGCATTCTGTCTCTTGATACTAGATATGGATGTGTGGAGGAACACTTCTTACCGCCCCATGTTCCCATGTCGGACATATATTCCGGAAACGTTCCCCGTACACCTGGCCAGGAAAAAATATCCTGTTACGCAATAACCTTCGTTTGGCTGAGGTGTGGCTCGATGACTTCAAGACCTATTACTACGACAGATTATCTGCAACAGCTGTAAGAATAATTATTAAATTAATTTGGTAAAAGCAAGGAAGGTACATACCTTGATCATAGTTCATTTACAATAGGTAGAATAACTCATTTTACTATATATGTAATCTAGATAATACCGCTAGTAATGTTGGGTACACGGATTTAACAACATTAAAACACTTGAAATTAAATCGATCAAATTAGCAAATGGTTATGTTGAAGTACTTTTCCATATTTTTACAAAACATCAACAATGAATATGTAAAACATCTACATATCTCTAGTTACTGCTAGTTACTTCATTTTGAGCTTTATCAATACTTCAATATTTCACTTAATCTTATAGTATTGTCATAATTGTTTTTGCGGAAGATTGATTTTCATTTTTCCTTTCAGAATATTTTATTGTCATGGTGTTATTGACAGTAGGAATTGGGCAACAGGTAGAGCCTATGAAAGCCCTCTCCTTACAGTGCATAAACAAGTATACAGACACATCAATCAAAATTAGAGATAACAGATAATAATAATATTAGGAATAAGAATGTAGAAGATAGATTCAAATGGATGATTATATAACCGAAATGCAAAATAGGCATCACCATCGTTTGTATTATTGAGTTCCAGAACAGTAACATAAACTAAAAAATACAAATTAGGTATCACAAGATATTACAAGACTGGGTCAAAATATGTCCATTTGTGGTGGGACAGGCTGCAGGTTCAAACAGTCCATTTGCACATAATCCTGAGCTGAGTCCCTAAAATGGACAGGCGGACCCACACTTGAGACATCAAATACAAATGAGAGATAGAAAAGATAGAAGTATAGAATGGGATGTACATTTGCTAAAATAGGCGACCAGTGTCAGTTATGAATCTCTGAACTATATCAAGAATAAATTTATTCATGTTTGCATCAAGTATAGGAGAACCTTTGAGAAATGTATCAATTGTAGGAGGTATAGAATCACTAAGGTCAGAAAGGGAATTAAAGAGGAGTTGTCTCTGGTTAGTAAAGAAGGGACAGTGGAAAAATAAGTGGGTACAATCTTCAACTGGGTGGCCACAGTTACAGGCAGGGTTATCTTTAAGGTGGGAATTGAATAAATCAAAATTCAAATTACTTGCAGAGTTTCTTAGTTGACATAAAATTATGTTAGTTTTTCTTTGTCCTTTATATTTGAAAGTATCATTACAGTGGAAAGGAGGAATGGTAGCTTGCTGTGATAAAAAAGATTTTTTTTATCGCATAAATAGAAGTTAATGAGGGATACAGACAAGATGGGCCATTCCATTCATTCATGAGTTTTGGAAAGAAGCTAGTGCTATAATGACAAGTTTTTGTATGGGGCACATCAAACAATCTATTGTGTCGAAGTGGATAAGGAGCATTATTATTGTTTATAAAAGGTTGGATAGAGTCAAATACATGAGGAGGGCATCTGTTATTTAAAATCTTTTAAAAAATGGATATTTTGATGTAAATGTCTTCTTTTAGCTAAGGGTATTAATCCAGACTCATTATATAGAATTGCATGACTGGTGCCCCGTCTTAGGCCAGTTATAATGTGAATTGCCTCTAATTGAACTGATTCTAAGATGTTGCATTCCCTTTCTGTGCAATTAGCCCAAACTATATCAGCATATTCTAAAATAGGACGAATAAATGTAATATATATTAATTCAAGTGACTTTCTGTCAATTTTGTACTTTAACATTCTAAGTACATTTATTCGTTTATAAGCTTTCTCATAGATAGAGTTTATTGATTTTCATTGAATTGGAGAGTACTTTAGATCCACAAATTTATGTATCCGTGAAATGATAAATAGATAAAGGTTGCGTAATGGTACTAGTGGAGTGTGTAAGATATTTGACGAAATCGAAGAACACGTGTATGTTCGGAAAACCACGAAAATATAAGACTCTACAGTAGGACAGAGTGCATTATAAGTTATAATGGCTGGGTTTTTTTTTTTGTGTGTGTGTTTTTACAGATAAATGAAACAAATTATGGAGATATATCGGAGAGGAAAGCTCTAAGAAAACGGCTGAATTGCAAAAGTTTCTCATGGTTTTTAAAAAATGTGTTTCCAGAAATATACATTCCAGGAAATTCTTATGCTTCCGGAGAGGTAAGTTTGTGTAAACGAATTACTCAAAATGTTTGTTATAGTATATACATGTTAAAACAATCTGTCAGAACATTTGTTTTCTCGTGGGCTACCAATCTGTCGTAATATTACATTCATTGCAAATGTAAATGGCACAGCATTAAAGTCACTGTCTATTTGTGAGCTAGAATTAAAATGCACCTGAAAAACTGATGTCGGTTGTGAGAATCTTTGAAAACCTAGTCTCCAAAACATAGATAAATAGATTCTGATCACTGTTTTATTATTTCAAAAGTCTTTGTGAAAGAAAACATTTACTTTATGTCGTGTTGTCCTATGTTTCATTACAGACAAAATGTTAGCGTTTTATTTGTATGTGATAACCCTTTAGAAGTAAGAAATTAATTGTTTGTTGCAGGTATCCAGTGTGATGTAATCATATTGGTTTTCTTAACAATACATTGATTCTTTTAAAGTACTAAGCCAGATATACAGTTATTTAATTAACTGACACGGAAATATGACGGCCAACATATAGAACAATATTATAGTGTTAATAAGGACCTGACTTTAAAATCAAACGTATCTTAATAAGTAACATGTATAGCAGTGAGGTTTGAGAATATTTTAACGTGTTCCGGTGCATCAAGAATCTTATATATGATATACCATTTTGTATGACATGACAGGTAAAATAACTTGATTATTAAAATCAGTTTTACTTTGCTAAATGATTATGTTACATTCTGTATTTAACAGATACGAAACAAGGCGAAACCTATTTGTTTGGATGGAGTAGACAAAGCTGAAGCTGGTGTTATTCTAAAAGCGTATCCCTGTCATAATCTGGGGGGAAACCAGGTAACACAACTGTTTTGTTAGTGTTTTTACACCCTCTATACTCCTGGGGTAAGGACACTTTCGCTATCTTCACCATTGGAACATTTCCTGGCAAATTTGAAAATTCTATGCAAGACACCTCGTGGATAGGCTGAGAATACTTGTTTGATCCTTTGATGTACATCAAACGAATCTCGAGGTCGCATATTGGTATGTTTCATTGGCTTTGAAGTTGAGTGTCGCTCCTTTGGGGTCCCTAATAAGTATCAAAGTGCGCCTGATCATGAAACCTGCTCTGGACCAGACAAATTTTTTCACCTGTGCCTCAGATGTTTCCAGGAAATGCTACAGGTGTACAGATAACGATAGTGACCTTAACCCCTGGAGAGTCGAGGATGGTGGATTTAGGATGTCAAAATACATGTTTTCAGCTGGATGTCTTTATTTACAAAGAAATATGCAGATATTATACCTTCAGTCGAAAAGTATTAAATTTCAAATTTTACAATACTTAATTGATAATTGGTTAAACGCAGTTGTCCTTTCATTCCTAGTTATTCTGATTAAAAAAGTTAAAGAACATGAAAATTTAGATTTCATGAAGAATGTTTTGTCTAAGTAATGTTTCCCTTCATCCTTCAGTATAAATTGCATATCTATATAACAAAGAAATATTTTAATTGCAATGTTCATCTGTTTTTGGTAGATTATCCGAGCCTCTAATCATTTGTCGATATTCTGTATCCACATCATGATAAAAAAAAACAAAATAAAAAATGTATGAATTTACAATTTGATATTAAACTTAACGTTATATATGTTAATATTTTCTGCATTTGTCAATTATATACATCAAATTTTCATGGATGTAATCAATGAAACGACGAGTTATTTACATTTATGTTAAATCATTTATTCATAACATTCTAATTATTTCAATTAATAGTTCTGGCTTTACATGAAGGACCGTTCGTTCAGACGGGATGTTTTATGTTTCGACTATTTTACTCCAAAGAAAGAAATACATCTTATTCCATGTCATGGAATGCGTGGAAACCAAGAATGGGAATATAGAGAAGTGAGTTGCTATTTTAGATACAATAATGATCATTTAGAATTATGTAAGTACATTACATGTAACAGAAGGTGACACTCAGGTATAACCTATTAACTATATCATTAAGATTATCAAAATCGGATATCACTTACAGATGACAATAAGTGATCATGTTACCTAGAGTTAAGATTATTTTCAAATGTTTTTAGAAGTAAATGATTAAATTATTTGAAAATCGAGCAAAAATATTTTGTTAAAGTTTAAACGCACAAAGGATTAAACATGGAAAAATCAGAGAAAAATACAGAAAGACCACGAATAACAATAATAAATATGTCAAAGCTGTTACGCAAGGGAAACCATCTTCTACTTCAGTGATGGCAACCGCTGTGTAGACTGAAAAAGATGCTTTATCATGCATGATGTTTTAAAGAAAGTATAGCCACGTAAACATTAAACCTCTTAACATTTGGTCGGAAAAAGCATTCAAATGATAAATTTCATGGACAATAATTCTGGCCTGTAGTCTTTCTTTGTAACTTGTGACGAAATATGTTTTTGGACGATTGTAAAAGTAAGATGACATTGCAAAATGATTTTAGTACTTGTCATGTCTAAATAATTCTTTTTATTCCATCCTCAGGACAATACTATATACCACGTAAATACCAAAAAGTGCATCACGCTGGCATTTGATGGTAGTTCTGTGTTAATGGAGGAATGCAGGGGCACAGAAAATCAGTTGTGGGCAATGAAAAGAAAATCAGCAAAGGGGCCAATTATTTAATTGAAGTCCGTATTATTCATGTAATTCTGAGTTGTTATTTGTGTTGGTTGTGTGGTGAAATTGTCATTAATAGCTGAATTTTTAGCCCGGCACACAAACCATAAGATAGGAAAACTTTTTGATAATTCTATGTCTGTAGGTTATGTTCTGCACCATGATAGAAATGTCAAGTGAAATTATAAAGGTATTTTAATGTAAACTCAAAAGGTATGGCAGATGACACGTGACATTGTGTAGCCCTACTTATTACATTGTGTAGAATTACAATTGATATTTAGTAAACATGACATTGTGTAGACATAAATTCATTCGAATACAGCTCAGAAAAAACCAAATGTACCTGACGCTATTCTAAAATTATCAGATGTATGAAAATAACGAAATCTAATCACGTGACTGCAGCACTTCACCGTCTAGATTTTGACATTTGTTTTGATTGCTTTGGATGTTCCTTAGCCGCCTCCGAAGCATCAAAATTTAGATCACTGACGAGTCCTAAAAGGACGAAACATCTATGTGATGCATTTTAATTCATTGTTTGACTATACTGTATCTAAGTCTTAACTATGAAAAGGTGTTATTCACTTTTGCTTTCTGTACAATCATTGTGTAGACCAACATAATTATGTGTTGACTTACATAGACTCATGCATGCTATTTTGTAGACTGATGGCAGTTTCTTTAAGATGGTATTGTGTAGACTCACGTATGACATTTTGAATACTCACAAAATGAAATCGTGAAGATTAAAGTATGACTTTGCAGTTCATGGTAAAGGCGTCCCAATTGATATTCTGACATTTTGTGAACTAAAATCTAAAATTTTATTGATTCAATGAATGTGATTGCAAATTATGTTAATAAATAATTCTGTTATACGAGACAATACCTTATCCAGTGTAAGACAGGATGCTGTCTATAGGCTACCCTTTACAGATTATATTGTATAGGGATATATCATACATCAAACCTGTACAAAATCAATATAAGGAATATCAAATATCTGTTCCTACCATAATGTCTATTAATAAATGTTAAGTTTTGACACTGCGTTTGGTCTTTTTTCTCGTCATCAGCATTAGAACAGTTGTTTGTGAGATGACGTTTACACTTACATTAAAAATAATCATATTTTGTACAGGTATTCAGATTGTGTAAGTCACTATATTATACCTGATTTTTATTGAATATGACATTGTAATTCTAATTTGTAATGTTAAAGTCATAGTATTTAGATAAAGTAAATTGTCACCAAAGATGTTAAACATATACTGTTCCGTTTAGTTTCTCCTCGCATCCTATAGCTTTTATGCTAACGTAAGATTTTACTCGGAAGAAATATGTGTATTTCCAGAAACACATCAGAATATGAAGCAATATGAATATTTACATAATTTTCGACGTCCGTTTCTACATTAAGTTAAAAAGGGGAAAAAAGGCGATAGACAAATATCATAAATTTTAATTTCTATTGAGTTTGTAACAATTGTGAAAAAAGTTTACCAATTGATATTAATCACTGTTGTTGGCTCGGGAGGAGGAGCGCGAAGGGTCTTACTTTGGGAGGAAACTGGAGTACCCGGGGAAAACCTACGTGGTCGTTCAGATGACTCCATATCTTTTCACGTCCATTCCGGAAATCGAACCACGGCGCCACCCGACTACACAAATGAGACACCTTTATCATACATTTGACTAAGCACCTTGTTTTATCTTTATCAAACTAGCAACATGTTAATTTATTGTACAAGTATCTTAATACAGCATAATATAAGAAGTTAAAAAGAAGCATGCTAGTAATCCCCATTCGTGTTCTTTTTAAATGAACAAAAATCACATATGCTATCAAAATAAGTTAAACGTAGAACCAGCACAACAATACGATTTTCTGTCCATGCCTTCAAATTCTAGAATAAAATGATTTCTAATAGGAAAATAAAGGGTATTTTTTCAAACGAAACGAAAACTTTAGAGATTTTCTCAGTGCTTACATATTTAGTAACTTAAATTCCACAACAGAAATCAGAACATTATGCAACGCTAAATATTATTTATGGATTTACATGCAATACACAGTATGCGTGGCGGGAAGCAGCGATTTCGTAGGAATACGCACGAGGAAGAGTTGAAATAAATGGAAGAAACACGCTTAATGGTTGGTAAGGTGCCACCATTCAACACACATTCATCAATGAAGATATATGTCAGAGCTAATATAACAGCTCGTAAATATGTGAATAATCATTGCTTTCAATAGCAATCAATAAGTAACTTTGTTAAGAAAACTCAAAATTAAAATATTCTTTATATCATTTTAATTCTATCTTTATTTTTGAAGTTGTTTCTGTTGATATAAAACATTTGATGTTGATATCAATGCTACATTTGACGACGAAATAAACGTTGATATAAGATTTTCATCCCCAATACGTTATAACGTTTGATTTTTTCCATCATAACATTTACTGTCATATATTGAACCAGTGAGTCTAATTGAGAAAGACACTTATTCTATATGTATGAAGTTCTTACTCGTCCATGGCGACAATACGGTAAACTCATATCTTTACGTGTTTTTCAAAATTCATGGTTCTCTACAGAAATTAAACTTTTCTGTGGGCACTTGGTTTGTAAATAAATCTTGCTCACGGAATCCAGCAATTTGCAATATACACTATGTTATCGTTTGTCTATTTTTCTATCCAATGAAAATAAAATCACCTTTAAAATTAATTATTTTACAGCATTTGAGGTTAAAATACGTCACGTTTTGACAAAAAAGGCAAAATTTGCGAGTCTCGAATTATACATAGTCAATGGTTTACTGCGAGTGAGGTATATATATCCAACAAACCTACAGGCACGATTGGACTGGACAATATAGGATGATCTAAGCAAAATATATTCAGGCTGCCACTTATCCGCCACTTACACCGGAAACTTTGAGAAATCCTTAGCAACCAGATCAAGGAATATCACAAGAATACAGAGAGAGAAAGAGCACTACGTCGAATACCTCCGCTGTAGCCTAGCCTGCCTCTAAGTCAAGTGATGGTCTTATCAGCAATAACGGACTGATCATTGCTAGGCACAGTAAGGACTTAATAAACCATTATGTACTGGGATGCACCCATAACAGCACCGGCAACACATACATGCACAAGTTTTTCAAATTCAATCTATCAGCGATTCGTGTAGTAATGATAAAATCTGCTCGTTTAGAAATCAAAATGATTGCATGTTATCACAGACTGGATTCTTTTATCATGTGTTCTAATGTGATCATTGAATGTGAGAAACATGTTTGTAATATTTCCTTTTTAATCTTTTCGTTTTTCTCCTCTAATACTTTCACTTTAACATTCGCATACTCATATACAATTTCAATGACTGTCCATTCATTGACTGCTTTAAGGAAGCTAACATGGTCCTCGCTTTAGATATTATTTTAATATAAACTTTGCTACTATCAACACATCAACAGAAATAGTATCGACTATATTTTATTGATATCAAGAGCAATGGTGGCCATGACATACGTTGGGGTCTTGGGGTACTCCTGACAATATGTCCGTCCAAATCACTTTTTACGATGATTTTCCTAAATTCAAGTTTGCATGAATGCATTATTTTCAACCAATACTACCACATGTACCTTTTTCAGGAATCAATATATATATACTAACCAACAAGTGGCAATGCCGTATCCTAAATAACGTCGTCTAAAATATAGGGAAACACGACACAAAATGCGACTAGTGAACGCCTACAAAATTGTATGTCAAATAGAAACATCAACATAAAACATGATCGAAATTAATATTAGCACAAAGACTACTAGAAGTATGACCGGGTGTTCAGGAAGGATAAGAATCTTTTGCTTCATATGAAACTCGCTATATAAAGAAAGGCAAACCCAACTAGTCTCCTAAATAACAATTTCATAGACTAACGATATTGTATTAATTTGGTACTCTGACATACCATAAATTCATATAAATATCTAATGTCAAACATCTTTCATTTGGATGGTTATTGTAAAAAAAAGCAATCAAACAAAACGTTGTTTTATAACATTTCCATTTAGATTGTTATTAATAAAGTTCTGATCCACTATTTTGTGACAAAACGCACAAGTCACTATCACATATTTCTAAATAGTCGGCCCTCTAACTGGTTTTTTCTCCATTATCCACAACTGACTGTCCGTACCTCGACATTCCTCCATAAAAACAGATCGACCATCAAAAGCCAGCGTGATGCACTTTTTGGTATTGACATGGAATATGGTGTTGTCCTGTGGGTGAAAGTTAGTGTAGGATAATTAGTGGTTAATGACAAAAGACTGAAACATCAACCTTGTTAAAGGTTGATTACATATATCCATGCTGATTAAAAATATATCTTTATAAACTTTGTTACGTATTTCCTTGAATATTTATGTATAAATGCTTATCACTTTTATATTGTTAATGCCTTATTGACAGCTATCAGCATTCAAGAAAGCTCCATGATAACGAAATTTATCTATGGAGTCCTTAACAGATTAAGAAAAACGTATCAATATAAAAACCTATTCTTAAATTCTTTTTAAAATCTTTTACACAATTAAAATGTTTATAGAAAAGACATACACGTTAATAGCATCTCTACCTTTGAACACAATTCAGAATGAGATACAATAGTGCCAAATAAAGAATAAAACTGCGTAAACCATATTATGTTTATAAGCACATAAATATTGATGTTATCTGTCTGCATTATGGTTTTTATATTAACTATATCTTATGGTAAGATCTGTATTCACATCAGTAACATAACTTTGTTTATATATCCAATCTTTACTGATATTTCTTGACTGAATAACATTTCATTTCTTGTTCCAATCTTTACATACTTTCGTGTTTTATTTAATATTATTGGATAACTCAATACAGAATTCCTTGCTCTTTTTCCGATACTGATTAAGTTAAATTCCAAAACCAGAATGCACACACGTCGCTGGAGTTTGTCCTGGTGCAGTAATACTGATCTATACCTACCTCTCTGTATTCCCACTCCTGGTTTCCACGCTGTCCATGGCATGCAAATAATTGTATTTCTTTATTTCTTAATTCGTTATTTTGAATGAAATAGTCGAAGCACAGAATATCTCGTCTGAAAGCACCGTCCTTCATGTGGAGCCAGAACTACAACAGAACGGTAAACCCAACCAGTCTCACGAATTAATTACAACGTCATAGACTTACGATATCGTATCTTTCATGTGAAGTCAGAACTACGACAGAACGGTAAACCCAACCAGTCTCACGAATTAATTACAACGTCATAGACTTACGATATCGTATCTTTCATGTGAAGTCAGAACTACAACAGAACGGTAAACCCAACCAGTCTCACGAATTAATTACAACGTCATAGACTTACGATATCGTATCTTTCATGTGAAGTCAGAACTACAACAGAACGGTAAACCCAACCAGTCTCACGAATTAATTACAACGTCATAGACTTACGATATCGTATCTTTCATGTGAAGCCAGAACTACGACAACGACAAGAAACAGCCTGAATTAGTTGACGTGATAACAATATTTTATAGACAGGTCAAATTTAAGGAGATAATACAGACATATGTGAATCTTCAGATGTATTATTGTTATCTAAAATAACAGCAGCGTTCGCCAATAGTCAAACGTTCTATGTGTCACTTAATATTACCATTTGACAATGGTTGAAATATATTCATAGAATTCCCCTATTTTTCACTTTCTCCAAGTTCTGTTCTAGTTGTTCTAAAAGCGTAATTAAGCACGGTTTCACATCCAAGTGATAACATTGTTATTATTACCTGGTTTCCGCCCTGTTGATGACAGGGATATGATCTTAAAATATTATTAGCTGCAGCTCTGTCCTTCCCATCCAAACACACTGGTTTTGCTTTGTTGCGTATCTATAAAATGCACAAATAAAACCATCTTTGTAAACTAGCATACATTAAAATGTTCGTTTTCATAGGTAATGCCACATTCAACCGTGAATAGTTATCTTAGAACCTAATTAATATAACTGTAGTTATTGTCAAATTCCTAAAAATATAACGATTTCATTAAATTTATTTAGTAAATCTATACGCATCTTTAATATGCTGTTTTAGCTACCAATGTTTGACTGTTGACAGTAAATGAGACATATCAATAAACAAGAAAGATTCGTTAAGAAATGAATTCACAGCAAAGTAGTCTTACCAGTTTGTTTGGCATTAAAATAAATCGCAATTTGTACTAAATACTAGTGTTCCTTTTTTCTCCATCACACAGTCCTTCGAAGGTAATAATTTGATTGAGAAGAACGATATATTTCATTCGAGACCTCTTGGTATTTTCCAAGTGTTAGCACATAAGTCACTTCTGCGTATCTTAACATTGAATTGCCTTCATTGTCGATAAAAAAAGGCACTAGCAATAGAGTTATACTTTAAGTGGATTGATAAAGTTTGTACAGAAGTGGTAGATGTATGTCATAGGAATACACAATGATGATTTTTGTTTATGTGAATTATATATTTCTCACATATATTTATATATCAGACAAAGGTCGATATGTATTCCAGTTCTATGAGATGGTCCTTATTTCAACAGAATCTCTACTATTCCATTAAAATAGATCAAAATTTATCCTAACACTGACAATATGTATTGAATTGTTAGCTACTATCCATTTGTCTCCTCTTAGATGAAAATTTAAAACATCATAAATCATCTGTTATAGGTTTTAAGTAATTCTGAGAAAAACATAAAGGAAATAAGAGTAAAATGTACCTGAACAATAGCGGACTATCTTACCTCTCCAGATGCTACAGAATTCCCTGGAATGTATAATTCAGGAAACACATTACTCAGAAACCACCTAAAGCTTTTGCATTGGAGACGTTTGCGTAAAGCTACCCTCGCTGATATATCTCCATAATCTGTTTCCTTTACCTGTTAATACAATATTACAACGTGAATCAGTTCCATTACAAATACATTCTGCCCAGTACAGCGACTCGTACTTGTGAGAAGACGCCATCGCGACGTCTCCTACACATTAAAATGACTTTCTATGATTGCCAAGATTGCTAGCCCTTCCGGAACAGTATTTATGTATTTGTATTTTTTTTTATATTTTCCTTTATTTCATGAATATTTGAAGTTTGATTTAGAGTATGTTGACATGATGTTATTGAATACTGTAAAATCGTACCCATCGTTAATGCCTGAATAGTTTCAATGAGTGAATATATCGGCACGGATAAAGCATGTTATTGAAGGTCTGAGTGTATACCACCCTGTTAATGATCAAAATCTATGGGAAGACAAAACAATAAAGAATAGCTGTAAGAGTATACTAATTATTCGTAATGTCATACATCATATTTATATTACTCTAACTAGATATATGTATAAAGATGCACTTTACACAAAAAAGACTGAATATCTACAAACATTCAACTAATATATGGTACCGATATGCATTCAGAAAAGAAAAACTATACATTAACTTATGGTAACAAAACGGCGTTTTATGTCTGTTGAACAAAAATATATTCCTACCTTACTTTGAGAGACACGCCCATAGTAATAGGACTTGAAGTCATCGAGCCACACCTCTGCCAATCGAAGGTTATTGTGTAACAGGATGTTTTTGCCTGGCCAAGTATACGGAGACGTTTCCCGGAATACGTGGCCTACACGTGAGCAAGGGGCTGTCAGAAGCGTTCCTCCACACATCCATATCTGACAGAGAAGGGAGCTAGACACAATCTACATGTATGCAGTGCATATTATTGGTATGTTTGTTTGACGTGCGCCCTCTGTATGTGACCTCTTTTAAGACATTCACTTAGACCAGTGCGAAATAAAGAAAAAAACAGCATGATAAAATTTCTGTAGTCGACATTCCAGTATTTTCTAAAAATGTATTTGTAATGAGACATCGTTCAAGGTTTTTGTTTTCATCTTTTTAACTTGTGTCACAGTGCATAACACAAAGACAATAGAATTTATTTCTTTTCTTGATCGCCCATTTACAATCAATGAAACCAACTGAGCCACAAATATCCCGTTCTGTTTCATTTAGATAAATTTAAACATGCTATTCCCGATGTTGTCATAAAGTTAGTACTCATAACCATACCCGAAACGATATTTCTAGATTTTCAGCTCCCCAAATATTCATTCCCTCGTCGTAGGTACCTAGGTACGTAAAGTACTCTCGACTGATTGCGAAGAGTCCTCCAGCCATGGTTGGAGACCTGTAATACAATTAAACTAGGTCACCTGTTCAATACATCAGTAGTATATCTTCCTCATACCATTTTCTGCAAGGACTAAATGCAAACTGCTAATAATTTGTCAAGTTCACGATTATTACTCACTAACAGTTAATTATTTGTCTCAACAGAGCAAGTGAAAGATATGCCGAAAGAGTAGGAATGGTGTGAAAATCTTGTTAACAGAAACAGAGAACAGTAAAATATGTTGAATGCCAGCAAGCAAGGAAACCATGGTAACTTTTGAATGTCTTTGTCTATGTTTTGAGGTATTTTAAAATTCCTACTAGTGAAAGACAGAGTTGTCTATAAGTTTGTAACCAAATCAGAAAATTAAATGCATGATATCATGATACAACTTTATACTAGATTAAGGTCGTTAACAAGTATGTATGACGAAATGACTTAGGAACCGGCGGAGGTTCTGTGCCACATGAAACAGTGGTCGGGCTGAACCATTTTATATATATGAAAAAAGCATATATGAACTTTTGGAACATGATTTATGCATTCATCTACGAAAAATATTAAAAATAGCAAAGAAAAAATAAAATACATATTATAGTGTGTATTTTTTTGTTTTTTGTTTTTGTTTTGTTTTTATTTGTTTTGTTTTGTTTTTTTTTTTTTTTTTTTTTTGTTATTTGCTTTTTTTAATTAAATAAAGTGACAGATCAAAATAAAAGTAGTAACATCGACATTAGTTTATAGAGTTTATCTTCTGAGCAAGGATCATTTAGAAGTTTTGCAATACCGACTCTTTCAAACGCTAAAAAGGCACAGGCAAACAAACCAATATGAAGACAGAGCAGTCGACACATGATATTTATTTCGGCATGTAAAATGATAGAACATAATTTACCCATGGTGTACTCAGATCAGTCGTTGTTTAGTCGCTATGGTCATTTACATAAAACATACATAGAAATACAAACTTTATTTCACAACAATTGCGAGACAACCTATCAGCTTATATTGATCACTCTTGTTGGCCTGGATGGAAACGCACGGATGATTTTACTGTGGTAGTTAACCGGAGTACCCGGGGGAAACCCACGTGGTCGGGCAGGTGACCACAAAGCTTTCCACGTCCGGTCTGCAAATCGAACCCAGGACGGCTAGGTGAAAGACGAGTGGGTTACCACAGTGCCACCTGACCCCCAATATTATACATATAATATTAACATAAAAATTAGTTCTTTTGTATAAATACTTACTTAAATATTATTTGGCAAATTTTAATCTGTTAATGATAAATAGAACTTCAATAATATATAAATGATATTATATCAATTTTCTTTTCTCAAGACTTTTTGATGACACCAAACCTTTTTTGGAAGCAATAATAAACCAAAATGGCCAGCAAACCATCGGGACTATGTTCATAACTCAAAGTTTATTCCTGTGTGAGTGCTCATTAATGTTCGTGGGGGGTTTATCTTCGATGAATTCATGAATTCTCAGTAACTCATATTTCCATGAAATGTTCAAAATCTGTACCATTTTTAGACTATATCTATTTAGAGTGATTAAAAGATCAACGAAAATTGCACCGCATAAAAATATCTGATACTCGGTATTCAATGTTTAACAATTCATGATTGTGATCTGAAACGATAGAAAAACCACAGGAATCACTGCAGCATTTAACCTACCTTGCTGGTAAATAGTGTTTAAAATTTCGACGTGCCCTTTCAGAATCTGGTATTTTATGCCAGTTAAACACGAGTGACCAGTCAAATCCTCCGACCTGTACGTCTTTTGCTCTACTAATTTTGAAGCGGAATGTTGTGAAATCAATACTTTCGATTATAGGTGTGACTGAGGTCGTCTTGTCACGGGCGATGGGATCTAGCAGTGGCTCGATCCAACCTGTAGTCATTAACAAAGAAAGTCACCTTTACACTTTCAAGTATAAAAAAAACGTTATCATCGTTTGTAGATAGATTCTGTCTGATCATCATCATCATCATCATCATCATCATCATTTTATAGTCTAAACAAACAGCGGAGTTCGTTGTGTCCTCCAGGGGTTTCCGAGCGGAATGCTTGCTGCTGTATTTGTATTTGTTATACAAACGACTAAATATGAAGGAAAATGTACGAACTTCACATTTCAGGCACTACGTCCAGTAGAAACATAAAGGGAATCTCCGGGTACAACGGTCATGAACTGGTTTGCAGTCGAATTCGGGTTATCTACCTGGCTTGTAGCTTATGGAACTTCGTTAGGCAGGACAATGAGGATTAAAGGTCTTGATAATTATGTTTAAACAAAACTGTTTATTCAACACTGGCTATAGGTTCAAGAACAAACACAACACCTTTACCTGCAATCTCAAAATTTAGAATCTCACACGATCATACTCAATACAACCACACATACAACACAACACACAACCATACAAACCAACTTAACACCATACATGACCCCAGCCCCCAACCACCACCCCTACCCCATCACACATACTATATAAATAGTATTTCTACACAAACCGCGGTATATCTGTGATAGTATATAGATAACTTAATTCCTCTATCACTACTCACTATGTAACCAGTTAGAATTAAAACTTTACTCCTGCTAAACACATAGTCTAAAACTTAATCCAACGATCCTACCCGCGCATGCGCAAGAAAAATCTATCTTTTTCAAAAACTTAAATCTATCTTGAAACTTCTACTATTGAACAAAAAATAATTCAATATTTGTACATACCTTCCAAGCATTCAATATGAGAATCAAGATATATCAGAACCGTTCCAGAGGCAGTATTGTATCCGAGGAGTCTTGATCGAATCAGTCCCTCCCTTTTTCTTGCTCTCAATATTTTCACTTTATCATATCGACGCATATATTCTTCCAGAGGTTCTCTTAAATGAGCTTCAAAAATAAGTTTTAAAATAAAATTGAAAAGAAAGTTTGACTAAACTGGGCACATGGGTTTCTCAGAAACTAAGATTACTTAAGACTACGGAAACGTTCCAATGTTTGAATCATTATTATTGGAAAATATTGAAACACCATATTTGTCTCGGGACATTTGCTTTCATTCTCCTTGCACCTCCGTGTAGGTTTTCTTTTGTCGGGAAAGTTTGTCAGACTTGACGTTTAAACATCAGCTTTTCCGATCAGGCCAAGTAAGAAAAAAGATACACCGCAAATGTAGATATTTTAGAAATGTATAACAAAGCAATAATCCTGACGAATATTAGCAGATCACGTCACACACAACTGGTTATTTTGTACATCTGTATTGTTCTAGTACTCGGAAGGTACTTACCCATATCCGAATAATCGTCCACAAGAATTATCTCTTTTAATAAAGTCGGTGGGGTACGGTTTATAATGCTATGGACACTCCTTAGTAAAACGGACCAAGCCTCGTTATGAAATGTTATGATAACACTCGCATCTGGTAACATATTACTGTACTCCATAGTTTTACATCTGATAAAAAAACAAAGAAAATTGTAACGTGAAATAGGATCAATGTTAGGCATCTGCTGTACTAGTTACAGAAATAATGTTTTTATCATAAATAGTTTGATGTTTGTTTTTGTAACAGTTATTGGCAGGCAGTTAGAACAAAAGTAATTGCTCTCTCCGAATTATATAATATTGATATATAATAAATGTGTAATATCATATAATATTGATTGTAATATATGTATAATATTATATAATATTGACTGTAATGTATGTATATTATTATTTAATATTGATTGTGATATATGTATAATATTAAATATTATTAATTGTAATATATGTATAATATTATATAATATTAATTCAGACCTTACTTTAATGATTGATATTCACCAATGATAGCAAGCGTCGACACTTATAAGGACATTAATTAACATCACCTGTGTCACTAAAATGTGTTATCGGAGGTAATTGTATGGTGTATTGGTGGTAATTGTATGGTGTGTCGGTGGTAATTGTATGGTGTATTGGTGGTAATTGTATGGTGCATTGGTGGTAATTGTATGGTGTGTCGGTGGTAATTGTATGATGTATTGGTGGTAATTGTATGGTGTATCGGTGGTAATTGTATGATGTATTGGTGGTAATTGTATGGTGTATCGGTGGTAATTGTATGGTATCGGTGGTAATTGTATGATGTATTGGTGGTAATTGTATGTTGTGTTGGTGGTAATTGTATGGTGTATTGGTGGTAATTGTATGTTGTATCGGTGGTAATTGTATGGTGTGTTGGTGGTAATTGTATGATGTATTGGTGGTAATTGTATGTTGTATCGGTGGTAATTGTATGTTGTATTGGTGGTAATTGTAAGGTGTATCGGTGGTAATTGAATGGTTTATCGGTGGTAATTGTATGGTGTATCGGTGGTAATTGTATGTTGTATCGGTGGTAATTGTATGGTGTGTCGGTGGTAATTGTATGGTGTATTGGTGGTAATTGTATGGTGTATTGGTGGTAATTGTATGGTGTATAACTATATAAATGACAGGTACCTATTTTGGTAGTGTATTGTTAATCTGGATTAAGATATTATTTGAAAGTTTTACTAATATCTTGGACAGCTGAATAATGTACAGCAGCTGTGCAACACAATTATTTGTTAACTGAGTATTTTATAATTGACTGGAGTTACGTGGCAGTTTTATTTCAGATGCCTAATCACTCCAAAATAACTCCGAGAGTTCTTACCTAAGGAATCAACTCAAACCATCAATATTTTGTATTTTATCATGGTTGATAGTGAAACAGCTTGAGTAATGTCGGCAGAGGTTGTTGTTAAAGGTCACTGGCAACAACAATATATTCCAGGTCTCATTTGGCTGCAGGTGAGTTTGAGTTCCTGTCAGCGCTTCGGATTTTTCCGTTAGCTTTCGGGAATCTTTGAAAAACATAATCTGTGGAAGTCTCATATAAAATGATAGTTTGATAATCGATTTTATTCAGCAGTGATGGTACAAGACACTTGATGTGATGTGTTGATCTAAACATTATATGATACGTAAACGTGTCCTTAATGTCGAAGTCGAGGATGTTTTATAGTATGTGTACATGTGTTATTGTGTAATTTGTATACTTCCCCTGTAGATTCCTGTTCTATGTTCTCTTTGTCTACTTTTGTTTTTGTTTTTGTTTGTTGCTGTTTTTGTTTTTGTTTTTTTTTTTTTTTTATTTTTTTTTTGTTCTGTGGTCCCTGAGAGGAATGGAGCAGTAATGAGCACGGAAGTATAAGGAAATCTGGTTTCCGGAAGTGATATCATAATCATAAACCGTCTTTTTTACCTTCATAATTTATTGGTTGCATGAATTTCCGTATTTAAGAACTCATGACAGCAATTAAGAATATAGAATTCTAATACTTCCGGTAGGATAACTCCGATAATATATCACTTACTCTGGATCTCGTGTATCCTCCAAGGACCTGTCTAATGAAATCATATCACTGACATATTCATTGAAGGCATTGTTTTTCCATCCTTTGTCGTACTTTTTCTTCTCCTCGGGGGTCAGTGACTTGACGTCAATGTGTACAGCCTCACCTAACTCACCTTGGAAAAGGAAAGAGAATAAGTCTTAACTTACTTATTACACAAGATAATTTCAGACAAAATTATGTAGTATCTTATACAAGGATTTCAGTGTCTACATAAGCAGGTATCTTTACAAATATTCTAATGTTTCATTGGTTGCACTCAAAGTTGAGATTGAGACGCATGAATATTTCTCATTATAGTAATAATTGAATTATTTTTGTCTGAAGGGTTCAGAATATTTTTTAATCAGTTAAAAATATCTTTATGTAATGTTGCCGATATCAAGAAACCATTTTCGCTTATCGTAAAGTTCCAGGTCTCTTCGTAACTTTAGCAGTAATTTTGGAATTAGATACAAATAACTAAATAGTGCAAGCAAATACCGAAATAAACGAACGGAAAGCAATTCAAAGACCCTGTTATCAGACATTCTTTTCTTTTATTTATTGATCTATTTGAGAATAACATCATTTTCATTTCTATAATAGCTCGTTTCTAACAGAATTACTATTTCAGTTGTACACGCAAAGAAATAAGAGAAATTCACTCACCAGGTCCAGAGGACACATTTTTAATATTAACTCTGTCTTTGTTACCTTTCCCGTCATTAATGTTAAAATGCCCTTTAGAATTCATATGATCCTGCACTTTAACGTCAGCTTTTCCATCTGGAATTACTTTTCCTGTTTTTTTAACAATTGTTTTAAAATGTTTCTTGTTTTCCAAGCCTAAAGATAAACGTTGCCGCTGTGTCAGACCACTTTCTAATTGATCTTCATTGCGTTTGATTAATTGTTCCTTTTCCACTTGAAAATCATCATTGTTTTCAATTTTGGCGAGTTCGTCACGGTAAACAAACGTCCAGAAAAAACAAACAAAGGAAAACACCAAAACTAATTTGATTACACATCTCTTTAAATGTATTCGTGGCATCCTTGAAAATCTGAAAAAAAACCCAATAAAATTGTCACTCAATCCGAAAGTAAAAAACAGAAATATTATATCTAAAACAATAGTGTGCCAAATCTGGCAATTTTTGAAAGCTACAACTTGAAGTATCGTAAAATAGAAATACTTAAAGTTGAGTTATCTTTGTTGTCCGAAATACCATAGATAGCAGAAAGTTAGAGTTCTGTATAGAAATAGATGTATTGAAAATCTCAAGAAAAATGACCCAGATCTCGTCGATAGCACGTGTGATTCTGTTATAACAAAGAAGTAACTTTATGCTGGACATTGTCCCTGTGTATTCTGCCTAGAAATCTTTACCCTGAAACTTTTACGGTAATACAGCAGTAATTTAAATCTTCAGTTCCTATATCGTATAACATGAACAAGTTTATAATACACAATAATGTCACGTGATCAAAAAAGGGGAAATCCAGTCAATAAATATACCGAAAAAGAGAGACATTAGCATTTCCACCTCAAAATTATTTCCCGTGCAAATTTGAAGCAAATTTGATACTTACATTTGTGTCACCTTAAGTGGAAATAATTGACAATATCTTTGAATAGATTCACTTAAATTTTTTTTTTTTTTTTTTGTATTTTTATACTACATTTTGAGGATCCTTGAAGCTAAACAAAGCATCACTTTAACACATCATCATATGCCACTTGTTTTAGTCCTTATTGAATGGTATTCGTGTACACTGATCACAAATATTATATAATGAATCCAAAATATACTTATTTAACCGAAAATTCAACTCCTCGGTGTAAAGGTATGATGTTTAATGTACACAATACTCTACACAGGTCTCGGTAACATATGTTCACACACGTGTGCAACGTAGATTTGTAAAAAGTATATTCAATGTCCCACATATCTGCAAAGTATTTGTCCAGAAAAATAATTTCATTCCAAATAAATAAAATTATGTATACATATATGAATTAATACCGAAAATATCCATTATTCTTATAATCTACAATATTTATCGATTTGAGTTTTGAATTCGTATTTTGATACCCATCGGAGTAATTGTTCAAGTTCTAATCATTTTAGTTATGATACCATCGGGGTATTTTTACGTATAAAATAAATGTATCCTTACCCTTTGTGAACTTGTGTTATATCATGGTTACCGGTACCGATTATTATGAATTCTTAATGAAAATATTTAGAAACTGAATACTGCAAATTTATTGGGTTTTTTATCACTGTCTGTGCATCGTCATTGTCAATTGTCATAATCTTGTCTGGATGTACATCTGTTGACATCACGTGACGAGGAAGACAGTATATACGTATTTCACTGATTGATTTACAGCGCTATAGCCACATCTTGTAATATTGATGAATAAGTTTTCGGTGACAGCTGTGTTTAAACAAACAGAAGACATATCAATGATAGAGTGTGCTTGCAATAAATGTCTCCACAACCAGAACATTTATAGATAAAATGTCACTTTGAGATATTTCCCCAAATTCTTTACTGAATTTCAAAGAAAACACAATAAAATAGTAAAATAGTTTTAATGATAAATTATATACTTTCAATTGGTTTGTTCTTTGGGTTTTTTTTTATTTTCGTTGTTTTTGTGATCGAAATTAATTTGCAATCAGTACTCAAGAGTATTTTATTTCTATGTATAAAGAAGAAATGAAGTTGTCGTATAGCAATGTTTGTTCCATAACGTCCTCATTAACGTCAACAAAAATCCATTTTGTTCCGAATGTTGTTGTTAACCCGCTAAGATATGAACCATTGCTAATAGAACTTAACAGTGTAATGTTTCCTACATCATTTCCAACATAAACTTATAACTTAAGATATTTTTCTTTCTCCACATACAGATATACCCTTCCACTGAGTTGTTTCTTTGTCACCAACTTCAAGACAATTATTCACCTTCCGTAGCGACTTCCTCAACAGTTTCCAGAACCTTTGAGTTGCAGACTTGAGATCAGATTCTGTAATATCAGTAATACTTGGCCATTTTAAACAGACAACTTGATCCCATATCGTGCGAACAACCTTCGGTTTTCACTACGTTTGATATCACCAGTGAAAAATAACAATATTATCATGTTTTTCGCCATCGCGGAGTACATTTTTACTAGCCACCGCCATTTCATATATCCCGCGCTCACTGTGGATAAACTTATAGGATGCTTCGATATCGCATCTGATATATTATCTGCAATAGATTTCCCGGCAACGAATGTCAAATCATAGCAACAAAATGTTCTGACTTTAACAGCACTGGCACAACGTTGTTTGAACCAACTGCCATCATTTTGGGAATACGCTACAAAAATATCATATTTATAATGTGTTACATGGCGTATTTTCGACGCTGAATCTCGCCAGAACTCTTCCTTCGACGAGTATACAGAACCACACCTACAACCAGGAATACGATGATGAAAATCACTGATACTAGAAACCTGTCTTCAGTGTTTGTTGTAGCTGATTAATGTATCTAGGACTGGATTCATTTTGATAAGATTTCCATCGGATGTAAAACAGGTGAGCTGCTTCTTGTCCGAAAATTTCTTCTGTCGCAAACATCCATGAAGGGAATTGCACGTGATCAAAGAACATTGAAAGGATTGTTGGAAATGTTCATATTGCAAATCTTCAACATTACAGTCTGTAAGCGTCGACATGGCATTATATCGAAGATCAACTTTCTCAAAAGCAAACATAGTTTTACAAAATATGACTGGGAACAAACGTTATTGACAAGTATTATAGTTTCCAAAGAGCTCGTTTGATCAGTAACCGTAGCCAAACGTATTTTTTTTCAAATGATTTTCCGTCAAATCAACGAATGATAAATATTAAACAAACAAATTGAACTATTTACTAAGTTGTCCTCACAGTTGCCTCGCTTCGCCTAAAATTTGACCTTAATGACATTCAACTCCTTACCTCCTGAAATGCCATGTTTACCATGTCTCTAATTAGAAAATTATGGAAAACCTTGATGTAACGAAGATTTCTAGGAATAAAACATAATTGCTCCCTTTTGGAGTTCACTTCTTCGCGATGCTAAACTATTCTCATTTGTTGTCTGTAAATGTGTCAACGCAGGGAAAAAACTAACAATATAAACAACTGGCCATTTATAAATAGATTAAATGTCCAATACTTTCAAGCATTGTCGAGTTGTCAAGGATAAAAGTACTTGTTCTTTCGCTTATGTCATTTTTGTAAAGAGACATTTTTCAACACAAATTGTTTTCAAGGATATGAATGGTGAAAACAGAAATTCATTGCTGCCAATGTCAGTCATGGTTTTATTATATAAACAATAAAGTGCTGTTAGTACTCATTTCAATTCAATCCTACTTGCTACAAGTGATGGCAAACGCTTCAATTTCTGAAATGTTGAAAATGCGTTTATTTGCAATTCTTTAACTGATTAAAATTGTGATAGGAGAGCAAACTAGATCAAGAAATGAGGAATTTATAATCGATGTTTTTCTATATTCAGAGATTTAACATCTTTAAGAAATACTAATGTTATGAGAATTTATTTTCAAGCGAAAATCCATTTAAGATATCGATATTGAGAGACTCAATGTTAACCGGGTAGGCAAGAGCTATTTCTGGATAAACTTTATCTAGATGGAAAAGGTGCCCTCTCCAATCCATTTGAAAGATTACAAAATAAATATTCAACAATATAAAAACGTAAAGAATTTTCAGTTACATTGAGTTTTATAGGTCCGTTCACAGCATTCCTTTGAATAAGTTTCAAATCATTGCGATGAAGCAATAATAATTATAGATTCCTAAAAAAATTGAACGCAAAATTATGGACAAGTTTAATGTTATTTGATGGAAGATCTAGAGACACGGGTAATCCATTCAGAACATTCGTTATGGCACACTATGTGTTTCTCGGTTTGATTCTTTTGTCGAACAGCATCAAGTAAAACAAACAAATAAATATATTTCATCTTTCGCCGAACAGCATCCAGGTATCCCGCCTGAAACAAACAAGTAAAAATATTTCATCTTTCGTCGAACAACACACAGATAAAGGGAGGTAAATCATAGAATGAATTCGTACATTCGTGCCTAGTGCACATATGATAATGTTGATAAAGCACTTGTGTCGAAATAATTGATAACGCTATTATGAATTGCCTGGTGAATAAAGATTTCCTGAATGTCACCTCTCTAGGGAAAATACCCGTAACTTCGCCGTTAAATCACTGTTTATGAGGCATTACCGGTTTGAATCTCCATCAATAGAAATACTTTCAGATAAAATAAGCTATCCTTACAGACGTCTAAAGTCGTTTTCATTTAAAAAAGAATTCTCATAGCGATAACTAGATAGCTAATAGAAATTATATACCTCTTGGAAATTAAAACGACAATATTTTCAAATAAAAAGATACACATCCTCCAGTAATTGTCTGTTTGTGAGTCAATCCAAAGCAGGATATCTCAGGAGAATAGTGTTTTAATTGTATATATGTAGTTGTTATTATCATAACTAAACGGAAACAGATTAGTTTGTTGATTACTGTACAAAGGACAATCTAAAGGGAAAGAAGACAAAGTTTCGTATTATATAGAGTAGTGAGACACAGTTTCGTATTATATAGAGTAGTGAGACATAGTTTCGTATTATATAGAGTAGTGAGATATAGTTTCGTATCTTCAAGAGTATATAAGTTTCGTATTATATAGAGTAGTGAGACATAGTTTCGTATCTTCAAGAGCAATGAGACACAGTTTCGTATTATAAAAAGAAATGAAACCCTGTTTCGAATTCAACAAGACAGATACAAGCCGGACTATAATATTATAAGGAGTTCAACTTTTTTTTGTAAAATTTCTGGCTTGAGAGAAATGTATACAAATTTGTGGCTTGCTTTAAATTGAATACTGTTAATGATAATGCTAAATATTTAAATTAATAATACACAATCAGTTTTATACCACATGGAAGATTTTGCGTTC